CCAGCGGCCTCCACGCCCGAGGTCGCGCGGCCTGGAACGGCGGCTGCGACCGTCAGAGATGGACAAGCGCGGGTTGTGCGACCAGGAGGGAAGAGGGGCAACCAGATAAACGTAATCAAATGACCATTTCCCCACTGAAGGTCACGTTGTAATCTCCCAAGGGAGCTTAGTGAGAAAACCTCAAATTATACAGACTGGCTGCGGACCGCTTAATTTTCCTTTCCTTCCTTCAGTCTTTTGACTCTCCAGAAGAAAAGTGAAAACATTCCTGTTTAAAAAAAAAAAAAATTCTAAGCAACCACCACTGCAACAAAAGCCAGCGTCTGAGTCTAAATTCAGGACTATGCTAACTAGAGTGAAGAATTCAAAACTCAAAAACGGAACTTTATGGCAGTGTAAGGTTTTCCTGAACATACCAAGCTAGGTACCTCTGCAATTTAACCCCAAACTCCAGTACTAAAGCCTCCAAATACTTAGTTTTCGTTTGATTATTTTGAACCAAAAACTTTCAACATTTTCTTGGAAATCAACTTCCAGAAATTAAGTGGAACTTGTTATTCTCACTCATAGAGGGGAAATCCTAGTCAAGAGTTCCTCTAACGAATCCCATTTCAACTTCCTCTTCCCTCCCAGATTTTGTTGAAGCAGGGTCAGAATACGAATTAGTAGCGATCCCATGCCAAGTATCATAGAAAGTAGCAGCAAGAAAGAGAGCTCTTTCTTTAGTCTGTTTCTGCTGTATAGAATACCAATGAGATATATAAGCAAGTTTGTCATTTTCTTTCACAAAAGTGCTGTAATTTGCAAAGAGAGGCAATATGTATGATGGTTAGGAGTTTTGACCTCCTGGCACCACTGCTTAGGCAAGCTACTCAATTTTTTAGAGCCTTCATTTTTTCATCTTTAAAAATAGGAAATAATAGTCCTAACCTGAAAAGATGTTTGGGGGATTCAATGAGACAATGCAGACATATTACCCACAGTAAACAATCATTAAATGTTACCTGTGGTTGTAAGTGGTAGAAACTAATTTTTAAAAAATCAGCGATATTTAAAAGAATATACTTTGTTTAGAGAGCCCACAGTAAAAATGAAGTGAATACGTTTGGTTACAAACAATAGAAAATGTATATAAAAGCTCTGAGCCTAGAAGCAAGCATTTAATAGGTGCTCAAGGCTGTTTATTACTTTATTTTTTCTACTAATATTGTGAAGTAGGGAGTTGAAAAATAATACCTAATTCTCATGTGCAGTTGATGAACCCAGTTTATAAATAATGCAGTCTTATTACAGAAAACATTTTACAGTTATTTTCATTTTTACTGTTGACATATATCTAGCATTAAAGGTTGCATAGAAATTGTGAATTTATAATGCACTTCAAGATTAATCTGACAATTTATCTAAAACAAATGTTAAACATGGTTTCAAATCTATTCTATATTATGAACATTAAAATTAATTAGATTATATACACTAATTTAAATTATTAAATTAACAGTTTCATAAAGGAGGTCATTTAAAGAAATGGCCAAATCAATATTAATCTGAATACTTAAGAGAACAAGTTTTTCCTCCAGAGTAAAAAGATATTTACAATAAACTAATATTTGAAAAATTCTTAACTGTAGCATGCTAATCTTCTGTATTCCATGTATATAGGTAGGTAGAGAATTCAAATGTTGCAAAGTTTCAGAATCTGAAAAGCTTCTGAGTATAATATAAATCAGTGACTATTATGATTATCCAAATAATGATTAGTCCTGAAGATATGCTAAGTAGGTACATAAACTTATGCTGGCTTTTTTTGAGCAATTTTGGATTCTGGATATTGATTTCAATGAGGATAAAATTATATCAACACCTGCTCATAAAAATGCAAAGGGAAAGCATGTTGCATTTAAATGTGCACTTCTCTTAGCAATATTCAAAGCTTTAGTTTTTAGATATAACTTTTTTAGTTTTAGGTATAACTTTTTGAAACATTCTCAACATATTCCAGCCAAAATGTGAACTCAGGTAGCATTTCTCTCTCTGTATAATTAACACAACTTGAAAGTCTTTGACAAAGGAAATGAGAAGTGTTTTGCCATAATACTTTCAGAATATTCATAATAAATAGTTCAGTATTATGATACTAGTTTCATTTTAGTATATAAAGGAGGAAGTTGAGAATTCAGTATCATAGGACTTTGAGCAGATTTTCTTGAAAGACACCTGTAAAATTACCAAGAGGCTGAACTGCCAGCTAATTATTGAAACTTGACTAATACTGTAGAGAGTTTCTATTTTTGACTTAAACCGATTTAAAACAGAAAGACACCTGATTCCTACGAATTGGAACTCTCTGTATATTTCAGCTATATACAGTACCTATCTTTTGATTTTGAGAATTAAAATACTCTCATTTATGTATTAATAACACTCTGTAGTTGATTTTTTAGTGTCGTGCAGAAACCCTATCTTTGAAGGTAGAATATTTCTTTATTTCAGCTTTTTTTTCACCTGCTTTTAATATTGGACTAGAAATCCTTACTCTCATCTAATTGTGAATGGGCAGTTTGTCTGGTTCCTGTTGAAATCATAAAATCTCTATTGAATATAATAAAATAGCACAAGAGCATTAATTACGTGGAGAAACTGGGGGGTTGGGATACATCTGTCCTTTTACATGGAGTTCATGCCTCATTGTATCCAAACAGTTTACAAATAATTGTATGGTCCTTGAAAACTTATACCAATGGTCATACATTCTCAAAAAAAATTGTACTCTTTCAGAGCTTGCATATTTTAACTCAGCAAGTTTAATATTGGTTACAAATTGACATGTCAGGAATATAGTCTATAAATACTTGAACTTAAAAAAGCTCAGAATTTAAAAATTTGTAAAGTGTTGGACTTAAAGACATGATTTAATCTGAAATTCTCATGAAGCATACACTTGTACCTTGTGTTTGAAATGAAGATAATATTTCAGAATCCTGCATGTAATTTTCTAGTGCATTATTTTGAAAACAGGCTATCCTTGGGAACATGCTGTTCTCATGAAGATTAAAATAAAATTGCACTGAGTTTTCTTTTGAGGATAACTTTTGCTAAATAATTTATAATTTTATGGAGAATGAAATGTTAGGCAAATGCGATAGTATTTGAAATTCATAATGTTATTATGAAAAACATTCTTTGAACTAATCCACTTTAAGCCAGTAGCATTTTAATAAAAAATTAATTATATATCAGTAAAATATGTCAATAAAATAGTAGGAAAAAGGTAATTTTAAATTCTGAATCTACTTACCATGGGAAATGATAAATGTTTGAGGTGATGGATGTACAAAATACTGGTTTAATCATTGCACAATGTGTACATGTATTGAGATATCACACTGTACCCCTTAAATATGTACAATTATTGTGTCAAATAAATAAAAATAAACTTCAGAAATAAAACAATTTAAGGCTACATCAGTTTTAATAACATTTTAGAAAAATAAAATTTTGAGAAAAATTTAAATACTGTAGAAGCTTCCCATTACCTAGAGATGTTTAGATTTATAATGTGATAGCATAATTAAGATCCTTTTAGATGATTATTGAAACCATATTTATTGCTGTCACTTAATTTTATCAGATTTATTTTACTAGGTTATTACATTATGTATAAAGGAAGAATAGTTGTTAGAAAAAGGATTTCATCAAAAAAAAGAGAGAGAAAATCTTATTTGTTTTCAGATTTAAAACATTTTTGTGCTCATGATATTGAAATTCTGGGTGAACCATTACTCTGTGGCTAAAACTACTTCATCATAAAGCCAAGATAATCTAATTTTATCAGAAGGGGAGGACTAGTTAGAGCTGGTAAGTGGAGGACAGATTGTGAGTAGAGGATCTGGCAATGTAGTTTGAATTTTCTTCAAGAGAGAAAATTTTGAGTAGACTATTCCCAGAATTTGAAAAGTAGCTAATTGCAGGACAGTTGTTATAGCAATTTTTTTTTCTCAGTTAGAAGTGTTTGGATATTAACACAGTTCCATTTTCTTGGAGACAGGAATAAATAGAATGACCATAAATCAAATAATGAATGGCTAGGTTAGAACTTTTGTTTACTTTTTCCAACAGTTTTATTCATTTGACTTACTTAAACTGTAATGCTTTTTCTGTGATAAAGGGTGCATAGTCTTTTGTTCTTAGAGCAAGAGTATCACACCTTTTGCTTTCACAAACCTGAAGTAATTTAAGTTTATAAAATGCCTTGGATGTGTCTGTCCCATTTGGGGGTATACAATGTGACTAACACAAGTTCCTGTCTTCAAACAGTTTCTAGTCTAGATTTCTTCCAGGACAGCTTTTTAGACACATTCATTAAAATTATTTTTTGAAAACTGGCAAACCTAGTTTTCTAACATTTTGCTTCAAGTGGAATGAAAAATCATATTTTCATTCATCTTGTGATAACTTTTGTTACTGATACATTACATATCTTAAATATTTTTCTAGACTGTAGTATTTGGGATGAAAGCTGCCTTTTCTTAAAAATAGTCATGAATGAAAACAGCTTAGTTTTTCCAGGGTAAATAGTCTGGGTTTTTTTGCTTTCTATTAGTAAATTCCTTTATTAAAATTAGTTAGAAGATAGTTTGCTATATAGAAAGGACCCTTGCACAAATCCTTCAGGGAAAATAATGCCCTGGTCTTCATGGAAGATCTACATGATAAAAGGGTTTGATGGATTGAGGTCTTATTTATGAAATATTTGGGTAAAGTCATTTTCAAAGATGAGATTTCCATTACATGCCCATTGCTGGGGTTTCATTTGGAAAATTTGTTTACTCTTCCCTGGGGATTCCATATGTTGGCTGATTTATAAATCATATTTGCAATCCAATTAAAGAGTAATTTAACATGTTTGCTCCCTCTACATTTATAGTGTACATGTGGTAGTCTCCACTCAGCCTGACTAGCTGTTCAGATGAATTACATGCCCTTCACTGAAAACACTGAACAGATTTGGGGAGTTTTAATTATGTACTCCTTTACTGGAAATAATAAACAAACAAGGACTCTACCTGTAGTTGTTTTCTTTGTGGTGGAAAAGCATACTCTTTCAGTGATTGGTTCGTAAATGAGAATTACTTTACCAAATAGAGATTTGTATGTTTTACTAATGTCAAGTTTCAATATTAATGGTGAGAAAACTGATGTGATTATTGACTCACTGGAATGCCTGGTGACAGTGGCAGGAGGCAGGGACATTTTGAAGCATGTTTTCTTCTTTTTTTTTTTTTTCTTAACTCCTTTCTTCTAAATTTCTAAATCTGAATTTCAGAACTAAAATGAAAATTTAAGACAATACCCTCCCACACAGGCTAGGTCATTATATAATCTGAGGGAAAGCTAAGAGCCGTTTTACCTCCTTCTCTTTCTCCCTCCCTGTCTCTCTTTTTCTTTCTTCAAACACGTTAGCTTCCCTTGCCTTCTTCTACAAGATGAAATTACTTTTCTGAACTGCTCTCTGTATACCCTTTCTGTAGCACATAGGGGCTTTTATCACTAAAGTGACAGCATGGATTGTGGATTTTAAGCCACACTGAAATGTCTCATACTACCCAAATGATAGTGTAAGGCAAGCTTGATACCTTAACTGAGAAATCGGATATCTATAGGAAAAGTTAATATGTTTTTCTTAACACTTGATGGATAAATGAATATAGTCATGGAGTAAATGAGGCACCCGAAGGATGACCGAAATTCAATGTTTTACCTTCCAAGTTCCAGGGGCACTATCTGAGAGTCCAGTCCAGTATGTTTTCTCAGGGTCATATTCCAGGGGCAGTGACCCTGAGCAACAAGAAGTGGGCTTATGTCTTGGATTATACACTGCAACAGAATAGCTAAGGAGCCCTGTGCCCAGCAAGGAGCAATCATTCCAAGGGTCAGAGTATAAGGAACGGGAAGATGACAATGCAAAAGTTTCAGGGAACTATAATTTTGCATGATAGATTATAAAGAAAAAATAATGGGTAGGAAAAAATTTAGCTGTCATGGAAAACAGGATTCAATAACAGATACTTTCTGCTAGCTATTTTGTCACATAGCCATCATGTATTTGCAAGATGTTGAGAAAAGAACGAACCCAGGACCTTATGCATTCTAAGAATGGATTTTACCACTGGTCTGTACTTCCAGCCCTTAGCATTCTTGTTTTAGTTTTTCGGGTGCACATTGGCATCAAAAGCATCGATTACTAATTGATGTGAAGAGAAGACTAAATACGAATGTGAACACTTTTCTAGAACTGTGTTGAAATGATCCCACTTCAAATTAATTTCTAATAGATTGGAAAACCCTGAAGAAAAGGGATCACAAGTATAATCTCTATGTAATCCTGGATCCCCACTCCCGCAATTAGTTACCTTAATATTTATATCCTGACAGCCTTAAAGTGTATCTCCTTTGCGATGTAGTCAATCAAAACAGGGGGGAAAGTGATTTGCTTAAAAGAAGAAACAAATGAGGATCTAACAATAACAACAGGACTAGAAGAGAAAAGACCTTTGCTAAATATTATATTGTCAAAAGATGCTCTAGTTTGAGATTAAATTGTTGTCTATCTTCTAACTGTTCAGGCAAAGCAGCATGGTATGCTAAAGAGGACCTCACATCAGAGAGGGGTGATATATTCCTTTAATATATAGCCAGTTGGCTTAGAGTAAATAAATAAACCCCTTCATCTATATGCTAGTATCTAAAAGGAAGATACGAGGTCATTTTAATTTGCAACACTGACATGCAATAGTAGTGTCTTTGCTAATGATGTTGTACTTTGTTCAAAGATAATTCTTGGGGCCTCATGAAATACATTTTAACATAAATTGAACATTGTAATATATATAATATGCATATATCATTATTTCGTAATTGTGGTATACCAGTTTATAATGATGTAAAGTTTGTTAGTCCTCATAATTATGTAATGTTTGATGTCTGTGATATAGGAGATATTTAGGAAATTTGGCTTCCTTTCTCCATTCCCATTATTCAAAGAGTAAACAATGGTAACAGAAGGACACAAAATATGTGTTTTTATAGACCAGATACAGGGTTAACTCCTATAAATTTTTTCTTGTTTTGTCAGAAATCTATGAGTAATGCTAAGTCAAACACCTGTATATATTTTATTCCATGCATATTAGATACTTTATATTGAGAAAAGTTTTTGAGACCCCACCATTGTATTTTCATAGATGTGGGACTAAAAATAATAACCAATTGCCAGGTCCTGGGTTCTATCCCTAGCATGCACATACATACAAAAACCAAAAAACAAATCTTTATGAATCTTAATGTTTCAATGTAATTAGACAAAGTATCTAATTTATGTCTGGTTTACTTAACTCTAAGGATTAAGTCAGGTTTCTAATGCAGTTCTAGTACTCATATTTTCACTAGGAAATAAGTTGATGTGTTAGTCCCTTCGTGTCACTACCAGTAAACAGGACTTCTTTATCTCTAAGTAGTATAGAAACTGAGGAGGAAAATTAAGCCACTTGAAGAAGGGTGCGGAGTGTTCATGCCAGAGCAGGATTAGAAATCAGGGTGTTTTTGGTGTTGTTAATAGTAACGATAACAACAGTAATTTACTGCATGCCAAGAGAGCACTGGTTTCTAGCTAGGTTTGTCTGCCAGGACTGTTGCATTTTGTTTGCAAAGATTTTACATTTAAATTCATTTCAAGAGATTTATCCATGTGGTTTAAAACACTCACATCGTACAGCTCAGAAACCTTGCAAAAAATTTCCAATTTCAAAGCTATGCATATGCAGTTCTTTTGTTTTTGGATACACAATTTCCTTTCTGATAAAAATAGCCATGGAAAAACACTGTTCATCTTCATCTTAAAAACAAACAAACAAATAAAAAACAACAACAACAAAACCAAAGTCCTTATAAGACAGTGTGCCTCATTACGTGTCCTTTGTCCAATAGGCATTTTCAGCGTGACATTTTAGAGTGTAGCCGTGTTTTATGCAACAAAGTCTTGTTCATTTTGAGTTTCCAGCTTGACAGCCCACACTCTGTGCCCTTCTTTCCTGGAAGTGAAAGCTACACTAGGCCTGTCACAAAAAAAAAAAAAAGAACCAAACAAAATCCAAGTCCCGGGAAAGCTGACCAAGTCAGTGTGGATAGCTGAAAAGACTCTAAGAGTGTTTAATCACCATTAATTATTTTTTATTTAAAATTTTCTCAACTCGGGGGTTTTATACATATACGAATTGGACCTTGATCATTGTCCCTCCTTGTGTACCTCTCTCTGCTCTCCCAGTCATTATTAATTCTTTCCTCACCCTCTCACTTCTTCCTGTATTTTCAAATGGCAAAAATAAATGCTGTGAGTTTTCTGATTGTAGTTTTCTTAAAACTTATATGGGAAGAATAATATCTTGCTTTTTGGGTGTGTGTGTGTGTGTGTGTGTGTGTGGCAAAACTGAATGCTTTTAGTATATAATTCATGTCAAATAAAAAAAAATCGAGTCAGAATATTATTTGCTTACTCAAAATGTACTTTCTGCTTCTTCCTGGGAACCTGTGAAATGCCGACTACTATAATGTGGTTATTTTTCACCTCTTTTCCTCTTAGGCACCAAATGGTCTCCCTGCCGTGAGCAGTTTTGTGTCCGCATCCAGCATGGCTCCTTACCCTGCCCCAGCCCAAGTGTCACCTTACATGACCTACAGCGCTGCTCCTTCCGGTTATGTCGCTGGACATGGGTGGCAACATGCGGGCAGCACCCCGCTGTCCCCCCACAACTGTGACATTCCCGCGTCGCTGGCGTTCAAGGGGATGCAGGCAGCCAGAGAAGGTAGTCATTCTGTCACCGCTTCCGCCCTCTGATGGGAGATTCGTCCCCAGCGGCTGCATTCGGGGCTCCCCCCCTCAGCACAGCCTCCCCTGCTCCCACGTTTCCCATCCTACCCCTTCTGCCCTCCAAACCCCCTGCCTCGAGAGCTGGCTTGATGGACTCACATCCTTTGTGCTGATGACACTTAAGTATTTCTTGCCATAACTTCTTCTTGCAGAAACCCTGACATGACTTTAGGATTTAAAAACAAAAGCAACATTAAGGATTGAATGAAAGTTTGTGTTGCCCACACACTGTTTTAAGGTAGTGAAGAAACCTACACCCCTCAAAGGGCTTAAGGAACTTTTAAAACTAGTCTTTGGTAAAACCACACATGTATATTTATTCTAAAGCAACCTGAATTATTGAAACGTGCAATTGTTGAGATTTTGCAAAATCAATAAAAGAAAACACATGTAGAAAAAAAAGTTATGTTATACCCTCTAATCAAACAAGGCAACCAAGTAAGCCTTAATTCATCATCAGGAAACCAATCAATAACTGACTTGTTTGAGTGATCCTTTGTCTATTTTTAAGAGACGACCTATTTTGTTTAAAAATATGTGTAGAATTCAAAGCAGTGTCTCTATTTAGCTCCTCCTGGTGTTTTGACTTGGCTCCAAATGCAGTAATGTTTATGTTTTCTATTGGTTTGTAAATATGGACTCTGGATGGTGCATTTGTGTCTTCATTCCGTGGGGTATCCCCTTTCCTCCAACCCCACCCCCTCTCTGTTTCTTTCTTTCTTTCCCTGCAAAGGTGACTTTCTGACAACATCTTTATGTCTTTATCTCTGTTTGGTGGTGGGCTGCTCAGGCTCTCCTGGACCTGGACTTGCCCCCAAATTTTGTGTGCGCAGTGAAGGCTTCAGCATCTCATGAAGGAAATTTTCTTTCTACAGCAGAGGACTCAAAAAGCAGATAAAGCAAGCCAATCTCCTATTTTGTACCCTAATCAAACAACACACATGCCAAGCATATAAAGACAACAGGGTGAAAAATATCTGAACAAGAAGGCTCTAAAGGAAGTCACTTAGAAACAAGTTTAATGTGAAATGTTTTGCAAAGACACTTAAAATGAACTTTCTGTTAAGAAAACCACTGTGAAACTAAATTGTACTGTTATTGTTGGCTTACCTGTATGTTCAGCAGTCTCAGCCCAAAATTACGCTGTAATTTAAAGAAAATGGAATCTGCTCTAATGAATGTAACAATGGCTTGCTGTGAAGTTTACATTGTTGTACAGAAGCATGTCTCACATGTAGGTAGACCGATGGTGGTATTAGAAATACAAATACTATTTAATTTTAACAAATTCCCTTTATTCATTTCTAGAATTACAGGACACAGATCAACAAATCTTTCTAGACCAGCTCCTTTTTCACTTTAATGTTAATAATAGAGCTGTGGAATATATGTGTGTAAGCATGTGACTATGTGTTGTATTTGAAAACAATTGGTTTTCTTGGGCAAAAATCTAGTTTTTATCTCTTCTGTTTAGGGAGTTCTTCCTGCTTGACAATATAGGCTTAAAAATACATTTTAAGGACAGTGGTACAATTCATCTATTGGAAAATTAATATATTTTAGGGATTATTTTTTGGTGTTAATTCTGTGCAATAACTAAAGGGGCACCTCACCCTCACTCAACGTGGATGTTAAAGATGCATTTGTTAGGTGATTTTGATTTCTCTGTATCTGTGCTGTGCACAGTGACATGGCAATCCAGCTCTGCCATATAGGTTTCATGGCTTCATCTAAAACTCAAATGGCTACATCAGCTAGTTTCTCAAACTGCCAGGATGTAAACAGTAAGTAGATTTCCGACACATACACTATGATGGAAAAACTGCTTTTTTCAAAAGCAGATATTTTATAGAGCGCTCTGAACTGCATTTATTTCTAAAGCAACGGAGCTTCAGTGCTACAAGTAGAGGATTGTAACTCTAGGAGAAGAATAAGCAGAAGGAGCAGATAAACTCTCAGGGCCATAGTCTTCCTTTCATCTTGTAAAACTCATTTGACATCTGGAGTTCCCAGTCTGGTGAGAAAATAGACTATAAACCGAATGGAACAAAGATCCAATCCAATATTTTGGTGGAGACTTTAAAACCATACCATACAGTGACTCGACTGACATCCAGCAAAACTGACATAAGGTACAGAATTACTCTTTATTAAATATTTTCAAGTGGCTATGGGGGGGGTCTTTAAAAAAATAACAGTTGTTTGTATGGAAACACAACTAAATGTTATTTTCTTTATCTAAATTAAGAAATCTCTTATTATTATTTATGAATTTTTCTGGTTCTTGTATTTTAAAAAATCTAATATTAAGGATATCAATATTTTCTCTTTCCTTTTGTTTCTCTTCCAGGCCTTATTCACAGAGAATACTTTTTAAAAGACAATAGGAAGTCCAACTACAATTTGCTATTCAAATTATGTCTTAAAGCCAATTTTAAAACTATGAGAAGGAAAATGGGATGGGATATGGGGCTGGGACTGTTTGATTTTGAAACATTATTGTTATTGGTTAATGTTGACACATTTCCTCTGTTTCTTCGAGGCTGATGTGTAGTTTTTGAATTGGCAAATGCAGAAAATTCAGAAATCCTTTTCGGTCTCCTCTACACGGAGAGGTGAAAGGTTGAATTTCATGGCCTCCATGCACGCAGTGCTCTCACAGGACACAGAGAGCGTTACCTGCAAGGCTAGAAGTTAGTTGTGTGACACAGACACATTCTTATATCTATTGGTTTTCTGTTTTAAATGACCCACTTATTGAATATTGGGCTGAAATATAAATTAAAAAAAAAAAAACACGTTGGAGAGGATGTCCAGGAGAAGGCTATGTGTGTATATACAGTATGTTAAAAAGCCTTTTATTTTTATACTTCAAATGCTCTAAATTAATAAAAATTAATAATTACCATGTAATCTTTACTTTTTATTTTCAAAATGTCTTAGTAAAATAGCCTAACAGTAAAAATATCCCAGAGTAATGATCAAGAACATGTGTCCTCTAGAACATGCAGATATTTTTTGTAGACTTTAGCTACTGAAGTAGCATTGTTTCAGGATGCAGACACAAAACTGACTTTGGTTATATCAAGACCAAACAGCTAGTTCTTAGAGTGCATGTTAGTACAGGAATCTTTGGAAATGCTAAGAATGTTCTTTTATTTTGAAACATTTTTATCATACACATTTTAATCTTGTAGACAGTATATTTCACACCTGAAGCTGTCACTTAAAACTAGGAACTTGGAAATATAATTTTAGCCTGTACATTCTTCTTAAGAACTACATGGGTAAAAGATTTATACAAAGGTATTTGGATTCAAATACAGAGGGCACAAATGGGCTCAAATAGTGCTTCCAATTTGTGACTTAAAAGGAAAACATCTCAGCAATAAAACCTGTCTTCAAAGTGAACCATGTAAAGGAAAATGTTTAATATAATTTCTTGTATGCTATTTGTAATCAAAGATTTCAGATATCATGATTTAAAAATACCCATTTAACCATGCGAAATGCAAAGTGGACTTAAGAAAACGGAGCTGAGATATATATTATTACTAAATAAAATGGACAGATTTACATTTTAGCATAGCACTCATAAGATTCAGCATTCTTTTTTTTTTTTTTTTGGCACCAGGGATTGAACTGAGGTCCTTGTGCTTGCCAGGGAGGCACCGGAACCACTGAGCTAAATCCCTAGCCCTGATTCAGCATTCTTAAAAGGCCACTTTAGTACATTTTAAAATACTTTTTTCTGCTCTTTAAATATTATTTAGGGAAAAAAGCAATTCCTTACAAAAATGTTTAAATTTTGGCTTTTCGGGGAGGCCCCTTTTTTCTCCAAATAATTCTTAAGGAATTAGCCACAGGATAATTTATTCTCAAGAATTTAAACATCTGTAGGTCTTTTGAAAATTATCATTACAATGAATTTTCATTATGAGGCAGTATAAGAGGAATATATTATATTGCTTTTTTATTGATTAATTTTTTTATTCTTCTAGTTTATCAGAACAGGAGTGTAGTACATGTTTTCATTCCCTGTGGGAAGTTGGTACACGCACATAATGCATCTTAATTCATGTTTTCATCCCTTTTCCTTCCCTTCCTCCCCCATCTCTTGATCCCCTTTCTTTCTGTACATGTTTGCAGTTCATAATGTTTACAGTCCTTGCGTGGGGTTTATCTACTATTTTAATATTATTCATATACTTCATTGCTTCATTTTTTTTTTACAAATCTTATATTGCTCTATACCTCATTATTTAATATTATTTTTCTTTTCTCAACATATTTCATTGCTCTGTATTATTTTTCTTATCTATCTTTCATCTATCATCTCTGTATCTCCATCATTTATATATCTCCAACTACCAACCTAAATTGCCTAAAGATAAAATCTAAAGTATCAAAATAGGCTTTGTGCTTGACCAAGCTGGTTTCCCCTTCATAACTGTACGCCTGACTTAGCTGATCAGCAGCGTCTCCGCTTCATGGTGCTGCCCAGCATCCGTTATCTCCAGGGAAGACACTGGCAATCACCAGTTCTCCTTCAGCCATGAATAGGTGTACTCGTAAACCAGCAGCATCACTGCACCTCCTAGTCAAGAAAATCACAAATGCAATTTCAAAATCACAAATTCTGTGAAATAGCATTGTCTGCTGGCATTGTTTCTGAATACCATGGAGTCTCAGGCAGCCCGTCCAGCAGGGGCTGTTCTGGAGCCCAGATATACTGATATGAAACTATTATGGAAAATTCTCAGGGTAAAATCAAGACCATCTTGAGCCTCTAAATACATTTTTTCCCCATGAGTGTCTGCAACTTTCATTTCACATTGTATTCTTTTCCAGGCACTTTTAATTTTTAAAAAGTAAATAAATATAGACATATTTAGTCATGTAAGGGCATGTGGCTTTCCTGTGAACAGAAACCTTCAGATTCTTCGTATGTCAGCAAAGGATTTATCTTTTTCAGTTCGTAATTAGCATTGTCTTAGTGGCATTCAAGAAGAAAGTCTCTAAGACGGCGGTTGATGGATGAGTCTTTTTTTATAGTCTTCCAAAGTGGATTCTAATGTGAAAAATAACATGAATATTTTTAGAAGTCTGTATTGTAAACCTCAACAAAAGGAGATTGGAAGCTAACTGTCATTCCATATATCTGCCTCAAAGGTATATAGACTTGAACTTGAAATTCTGGTAGTGAAGTTGAGTGGCGTAAAACCACCATTTATCTTGGAAGAGAAAAGTTTTATAAATGGCTGCAAAGAAGTTTTCTCTGCAGTACAGAAGGAGGGTAGGATTCAGGAAGACAGGTGCTGTGGCTCTGAATACCTGGACACGGGAAGCATTTGCATGAGGATCATTTTGTGTTTTCTCTGATGTAGAAATACCATGGGTCCTGTACCTTAGGACATTGTTTAAACTGTGTGAACAATACTACAAAATCAAAATGTGGACAAATATCCAGAGCACACAAGACTAGTTTGCCTCAACAGAAGACTGATTTCTAATGGAAAGAAAAAGAACTTCATTTGGATTTTAGTTATTTTGTACACACTCCATATGATTTTTTAAAAAAAGACTACAGACTGTACATGTTTGTGTAATCATATGCCAGAAATAATTGTCTGCCTGCGATTTTAATTTCTAACCCATTGAGATATTCTATTACACCCTCTCAGCCCTCTTAGAACTCTGGCAAACAAAAAAAAGATTCACTACACTGGGGCTAATATGTACACGATTGCTGTATTTACTCTTAACCTTCTCAGTGTAATGCAAGGATATGCAGAATGGAGTTGGCTTTCTGTCTACTGAGATTTGGAGTTTAAACCACAGACTTTTGAAGGAAGTACTTGATTGTTAGTCACATAAAGCTGCTAAGGCTATTATAAAAATAATACTGGCTGCTTCTCCAAAATGAAGTGTGAAAATTCCAGGTTCATCTTACTTTTCTTCTGTCTCTGTCTTTGTTTCTGTCTTCCCTCCCCTCCCCTCCCCCCTCTCTCCCTTCTCTTCCGATTTTGGTTGGCCTTTACTCAAAAGTCTTACCATAAGTTTTCTATTCCTTCTCCCTTTGAAGTTGCTAGGATATGCATATTTGAAATTAAGTGGAGGCCAGGTATTTGAATGAGGTTATCAGTTATTCACAATGTTGTTTAGGCTGGACAGTATGTTCACAATGCTTTTATTGGGTTTAACACCACAGCAACTCAGAACCCCTCATGCAAAAACATTTAAAAGCCCAACCAAACATTTGCAAGCCTCTAAAGAAACTTGGGGCCATGTTATTTAAGAGTTTTAGATTAAGGTTCCAGTCAGTTACCATTTTGACTAAATTCTGTCTTGTCACCACCCTTTTTAGGCCCATTGCCTTCTGAGAAAGTTGGTTTCAGGCCAGTCCTGTGATTTTTCTCTTATATTAGGTCCACTCTCAGGTTTTTACTGAGTGGTGAAGGAAAGATGTCACATACAGTAATTGCAAAGATGTATGAAATCCCCAGTGTTCTTTATTATTGGGTTAGTTTTTTTTTTACACATGAGCCAGTGACAAGCAGCAGGCAGAGTTCTGAATCTTAAATGTGAAGCAGAATCTATGCTTAAATACTTGCAAATGTGAGGGTAGATGCATTCTGAATTTTTTTTCCTAAATACATAAAAAGTTGCTTTCTAAATACATACTCTGTTGACTAGCTTCAATTTACAAACTGTTATTATTTTTCTTAGGCTGACAGAAATGGCAGTTTATTGTGCTGAGATCTAAGGTAACTGCATATGTGGGAGTGCAGTAAGGGAGCAGAATGCTGGTGTAAAAAGGGAGGAATGGCGAAAGGTTAGCAGAAGCAAAAAGTTTCCAGAGAGGATCACCAAGGTGTCTAAATAGGGGTGCATGCTTCAGACTCCCCAAAAAGTGTGGCCTAGAGCACACTTTTATACTAATTCACAAGACTGTTTATAATCTGACTATTGGTCCCAGTGGTTGAGTCTGCAGCAGTTATTTTCTTATCTATTTCCATAAAGGCAGCTGGCTCTTCCTGTTGGAATGGCAGCAGGTGTTTTGTTTTATTTATTTTTTTTGTGAGCTGGCACCCTCAGGCTGAGCTGGGAGCCTGTGTCATCCAAGGGAAGAGGCCAGGATATTGAGGACCCTTCAGTGGCATCACCAGGCCCCCCAGGGGTGAGTGAAAAGAAGGGACTCTAGCAGCTCATGTTGACAAGATGCCCTCCGTTTCTCTTTTTGAAATGAAGCTGAGGTAGGACTGAGACTCAGCTGGAAGCAGAAGGAATGGTTTTATCAGACAGGTTCCTCACTCAGGGAATACCATGACTTCATCCAGAATTTACTCCTCATACTTCGCTGCTCAAACTCCAACTGGCTGAAGGTTCTTTCCTTTTTCCTTAACTTAGGTTTTGCTTTCCACTAGCAAGGTCTAAAACAGTTCTGTATAAACAAAGGTAGAGCAGTTCTAATGCGTGCCGTCAGCATCTTGAGGACTCATAGACAACTTTACATCATCAAGGTTTCCATCTCTCCAAATATGGTGAACTTTTATTGTTTTGCTGATAGACACACATAACAAACGAAGAGATACTAGAAGGCAGATAATTAATAAAAGTATCATTACCTGGTCCAAGTCTCATAATCTTGGGAAGCAGGCCTTTATATAAAGCCAAAATCCTATAATCAGAAGGAAAAGAGCAACATTCTTATTCTGAAAATAAAGGAACTGGACCTCAGTTTTATTGAGATGCTATCTCAGCATTTAAAAAGAAACTCTTTGAAATTATGCCCATCCCAAACTGGACAGTATCTGGCTTCATATTCCCTGCACAAAATTGGATGAAGGGAAAGAGTTAATCAGTTCTTTATTACTCAGGCTATACTGGCCTTGTCCAATCAGAAACATGACTTTCATCAGTGAGATGGTTTTTGTTTTCAAGACAGGTCTTGCTTTCAAGATAGCTATGTATATGGACAAAATGGCTTTTGAAATTGAATTTAAAAGACCACGAAGTCAGTCTTCATATTAGGAAATATGATGCAATTTAGATTAAAATAATAAAGTATCACTTGTTTACTTGGGAATAATTAAAGAGGAAGAGTGAAGACCCAGAAAGTAAGACTTAAAAATAAGAAAAAGACATATTTTCAAAAACCTTAACTTTGTGCAATTCTCGCACTGAATTCGCCCAGGAAAATATAATCAGATAGCATTTTGATGAGATTTATAGTCAAAAGACTATTATCATCTACCTGTTATCAGTAGGGCTTTTTTGTTTTGCTTTGTTTTGGCCACTCTGGTCCTTGTGCTTGCAAAGCAGGTGGCTGCACCACAGAGCTAAACCCCGGCCCTACTTTTTTTTTTTGGTACCAGGGACCGGAACCACTGAGCTAAATCCCCAGCCTCCAGTAGGACTTATAATACACAATAGAATATTATGTAAACCGACAAGTAAAAAGTTCATCTTAGTGTTCTAAGGCAAACATGCAGAGTATTGCATGATCGTGCCTCACGGCACGATCTCGATGGTATAAGAACGTTTTGTCAACATCTCATTGTGTCCTCTTGCAAAATTTGTTATATTCCGGGGAGCTTCTTAGACACACCCAACTTAGGAGGGCTTACTGGTTCTCAGCAAACTGGAAGTACAATATGGTCTTAGCAGTATTTGAGGCTTGTACATTTATTAAAGTAAGAATGTGTTACCCTTCTTCCTGATAGACTGTTGCCATTGTTTTAAAACAGGTTCTGTACTTGATCTCTCCAGGAACTGGCTGAGGCCCTTGAATCCGACTTTTGGCAACATCAAAAGGGATATTAATGACTGAGGCTATTGTCCCGGAGAGAAGACCAATCCCAAATTTTCTCAAGAACTCTAAAGTTGGATCCTAAAAGAAAAGAAGAATAAAATAACAGAAAAGGAAATGGAAGCCCCTAAATTGGTTAAACACTATATAAAGCAATATGTATTTAAGCAGAGCACTGCACTCCTTGGCACCCTCCTGTTATTCCAGCAGAACACATTAGGATTTCCTAGGCTGGAACTTGTTTTCTTGACAATCCCATTGGCTATGTTTTTACACATGGTCTAAATTGCTGAAGTACACATTTCCTCACACAGGATTTATAAACACAGTTCATAAAGAAAGACTGGTATGGCATATGGGGATGATTTGTATAATTGGGCTTCACAATGTACTTAGTATTACTGTATCAAAACAGGAGAAATCCAAGCACACTATTAGCTAATTGGCCAGAATATTTTACAAATGACAGCAACTTCCACCATGAAGCCTACTAAAATGCTCATTTGTGTGTGGACCCCCAAATGTTAAATTAAATCAAGGCTACTCTCGGTCTGCTGCTATTCCCCTCCAGGTTTTTTGCATTTATTTTCACGTGTAGCTGATCCACTGTACTGAGAAGTGCTAGCTTCCTGTTATTAACAAACCAACTTGGGGCAGCTACAAAACAGCCTGTGACATTTTGTGCATTATAAACAGTAGTGAGGTACTGGACTAATTGGCTGAAGAATTTGGGACTCATTGTTTCTGAATCTTGCTCTTCCTTCATGGAGAGAGAGGTGTGGAGGCGTTGTTCTTTCTATTTGAATTTAGGCCCTTCACACGGGTCTGATTTGATTTTCCACCCTTCTTTGCTCTGCTTTCTGACATCAAAGTATTTAATTAGGTCTTATGTGGGAGTCACTTTCCTTCAAACTATTTTGGTGCCCAGTGAGCTCACGTTATGAATTTTCTGGGAAGTTCTCATTATGTTTGCAGCCTCAGTTCTTGCCCTAAAGAGAAATCATATCATGTATTACATGCTGCTGACCCTGACCACCACCTTATCCTATCCCTGCCCTCTCTTTGGTCAGTGTGTCAGGGGCACTGTCACAAAGAATCAACATGGGGTTATGCTACCACACTATTTTATCCAGCAGAAACAAACAGAGGGGCAATACAAATGAGTAAATGAATGAATGAATGAATGAATGAAATTCAAGTCTGAGCACTGCCTTGTTTCCAGTGCCTATGAAATAAGAAAACTTCTGGAAGTTCTGAAATGTTCAACTGAACCCAGAGCCAGTTACCTTCATAAGAACTCCTCTGAGGCTAAATATAAAAAGCTAGGGATTCAGTAATAATTCTTGGATCTGGGCCATACAGGTGCTGAGGAGGTTTAAAGGGATTTAAAAACCATCAGGGTGTTTCTACAGGAAAAACAATGCAGTGATTGCAGTATGAGTGAGGTGTGTTTAAATAATTCCCCCTCCCCCCATTTTTTTTCTTTTACAAGGAGAGAAAAATGCCTTTATGTTGCCCTTTTCCATTATGGCTCAGAAGCAGAACCCAAGCTTCGGAGGGCAGCAAATTCAACACCAGCTCAAGTTGTCGGACACGGATGAGTCACTGACTCTCACAGAGCTTAGTAAACGGAGGGAAGTTTTTAACACTTACCTGTGACTGTATCATTTTTCTGAGGTATAAAAGTGCCAATAGAAGTAAGTGTGCTATGGGTGTTGTATGATCCTGGCAGGAAATGGATGATATTATTATGTAGCCTGTTTTCAAAAGATGCAAATCATCCTATAGAATGATTATGTCATGGTACCTCTGCAACACAGCCAAGTTCTCTTTCTGTTTCTATTAAGGGCAAGTGTGAAAATGATAACTTATATGCACGCTGTCTCCCCGGGATGTTCAGGGGACCTCATCGAGCATTCTTCATTTTCTATTTCCTGATATATTTGCTGAGAATCCGGATTGAGAATGGAGAGTAAACGCAGACACCCGGGGAAGTCACTGTGCCTGAGGTACTGCTGGTGATCAAAACCTAAGGTCTGCAAGCTAACCACGTTTCACAACCACAAGGAAGTGTCAAACCTGAGCTTCTGTTCCGTTTCCAGCACAACAGTAAGATCCCATAGTATTTTCCAGATCCAGCCATGCATCAGAATCACCCGACGGCTTTACAAGTAAAGATGTCTGGGCCCCCCCGGCAGCTGTATCTCAGATTCCCAGGTCAGAATTTTCTTGGGAAGGTGTCTGAAAGTGGTTTCAAAAGCTGCTCAAATAGCTGGGCATAGTGGCACATGCTTGTAATTCCAGCACTCAGGAGGTCGAAACAGGAGGATTGCCATGAGTTTGAAGTGAGGCCCTGTCTCAAGAGCTGCTGGGCTGAGGACCCATTTCTGGGAACTAGTAATTTTGGTGTTGCGCACAGGCAGATGGCCAGCTGCTACCCCCATGAGCATTCTAGGGAGGACACAAGTAGTCATGAGATGATCAAGGGGTATCCCTTACCACCTGGCTTCTGAGCCCATGGTTAATCTCTTCTTCAACTCCACAGTCTGCTCTTTTGCCATTACCAGAAGCTGGGACTGGATGAGCCAAGGAAAACCGTTGCATCTTGCCTGATTTCTGTACTACATCTTGCAAGCCATCTGTAAGGGAGTGCAGCTTCTCAAATATCTGTCCTGATCATCCCCTCCTGGCTACCTCACCTCTCTCACTTTGATTCCAGTTCCCATTCCCTTCCCCAGGTCTTGCTTCCTTCCTGCCCCTCTAGAGCCTAGCCTGCACAGAGTCCCCTAAGCTCTCTTTTCATTTCTTCTGGTATCTCCCTACTCAAAGATCTTCCATACCTGCTTGCAGCATGGAGAGTAAAGGCAAAGCATTGCACTTGACCTGTGATTACTTTCTCAGGATAAGCTTCCAATTTATCTTCTTACCGTCATGTGCTACACTCAGAATCACACTCATCGATTCATTCACAATTATTCCAAGCACTTTCCTGACTCCTGGTTTTTCTTCAAACTATTCCCAAGCTTTGAGAGATGTGGGTGTGCAGAGGACCATGGCCGTGCTGAAGCCCAGGCACTCACAGGTGAAGAGGGCTGGCCTAGCTCAGGAGCATAGTTGAGGCTGGAGTGTAGCTTCTACCCTCATTAATTCTTCAGTCGCCCTTGGGAGCCCAGTGATAGCCAACTGTGCTGCTTTTAGTTTTATCAGCCTATCTTCTCAGCTCATAACCCTACATTTCCAGCCTCCCTGCTTGACCTCTTCCCTTCCCACAACCACCTCACTCTATGTTAGCAACATTGCTTTTCCCTGCTTATGGCAGAGGTAACAATTTTAATAACATCAAATATTTACGGTCTTTCTGCGAGACAGTGCCGATTGCAAATATCTATGCGTTGTATAAGTCAATCTTTACAACTTCGAGGCAAGAATTATTATTACTCCTCCTATTTTACAAATGAATTAACTGATGGGTTAAATGCAAGAAGGGAATTTTTGTTTCACACAAGTGAACCTGAGTGTTTGCCTCAAAGCTTACATGTTTTTTCCCTGATAGTCCTAAGTACCAGTGGGTAGGCTTATGCAGCAGGTACCCTAGAACCTCCTAAAATCATAGGGAATCTCTCTGTGTATGTGCATATGGGCTTTTCCAGGAGAGTGCTTATAGGTTCTCTTGAGCTTACAAAACCTTAAAAACAATAAATGTAATCATTACATACTGCAAACATGTACTGATAAAAATAAATGAAAAAAGCTTAAAAATAATGAGACCATTTCATTTACTAATACGTTTATAAACTACAAAAAGGGAAGTGTAGGATTTAAAACACTGGGGCTAAAACTAGGAAGTTCTAATTTTCACATCGAGTTACCAGGCGATTCACCTTAGTGAAAAAATTCTCACACGCATTATTGCTGTAGAGTCCCATTACATACATCCCAACAGTCTGTGGAATCAGTGTTCTCAAAGTGAGGTTCTTGTACAAATCGTCAGCTCTCTGTGGAAACATATTAGAAATAAAAATTGGGGGTCTACCCCAAACCTACTGAATCTGGGGAGGGAACTCAGCAATCTGTTTAAGTAAGTTCTTAAAATTTTCTGATGGATGCCAAAGCCTGAGAGCCATTACTAAACTGAAGTTTATGATTCACCCTCTTTGGATCCCTGGGCTGGACAATTGATGTTCTAAGATAATGTATGTATGTATATATGTATGGGGTCAGATCCAGAGCCTTCATGCATACTAAGCAAGTGCTCTACCACTGAGCTACATCCCCAGCTCTGCTAAGATTCATCTTAACTATTGGCCCGACAAGGCTCTGGACGTGCTGAGAAACACTTAAAGCCTTTTGTTAATGGAAGCAAGCCATAGCTGTGGGGTTTCCTGGCCTGAGTGATATCACATAGTACATGTGCTGTAATATTTTTATTATATTTTATAACCATCTGTATTAGTTACTTTCCCTTTGTTGAAGCAAAATACCCTAACCCACAACTTAAAGGAGAAGTTGTATGGCTCACAATTCCCAGTGGACTCAGTCCATGGTTGGCTGGCTGCAAGGCAGAAATTGCAGAAAGGATGGGGAAGAAAGCTACTCAACCCACGGGTGCCAGGAAGCAGACAGAGAAGAGAGAAGCCGGAGACAAGAATGTATCTTTCCAGGTCATGCCTCTAATAACACTCATCTCACCTCCATTACCCTGCTACCTTCCCAAAGCTCCACTTCTGAACAGATGAAACTTCTGGGGTACATTTTAGATCTAAACCATTATACTATCATTATGATAAACAATGCTATTATTAATATTATTTATTGCCAGGAACAATAGCATATGCAAAATATGCAATATTTAAAATAAATAAAATAGCCGGGCATGGTGGCGCACGCCTGTAACCCCAGCACTCGGGAGGCTGAGGCAGGAAGATCGCTGTGAGTTCGAGACCAGACTGGGCTACATAGTGAGTTCCGGGTCAGTCTCAGCTACATAGTGAGACCCTGTCTCAAAAAACATCAACAACAACAAAATAAACAAACAAGCAAACAAATAAATAAACAACAGACTCTGAGTTCAGCACATAACA